ACATTTTTCATCAATGTTTTACAATGTGAGGGCAGAAAGTACAATTACAATACAATTCAATACAGTAGGAAACAGAGGGAACTGATCATTAGAACTTACAATCTAAAAGGGGTGTACAAAAGGTAATAACTATGGGGGATGAGCTGATGGAAAAAATAAAGTACAGATTTTAGGTGGGGGCCGGAAAGGCTAGTCTGAAAGAATGGGTTTTCATGGACCGTCTAAATGTTGACAGAGTAGGAGACAGTTGGACAGACTGGGGTAGGGAATTCCATAGGATGAGAGAGACTCAGGAGAAGTCCTGGAGGGGAACATGGGAGGAGGTGACAAGAGAGCTAGAGAGCAGGAGGACTTGGGAGGAACAAAGAGAACGATTTGGTTGGTATTTTGAGACTAGGGTAATGATGTTGCTGGGGGCTGAGTTGTGGATGGCTTTGTGAGTTGTTAGTATTTTGAATAGAATTCATTGGGAGAGTGGAAGCCATTGGAGGAATTGGCAGTGAGAAGAAGCAGATCCTGAACGGTTGGAGGTGGATGAGTCTGGCAGCAGCATTTATGATGGACTGATGAGGGGATAGCCTATGTAAAGGTAATCCAATGAGAATGGAGTTGCAGTAGTCAAGCTAAGAGATGACCAGAGAGTGGACTAGGAGCTTTTTAGTGTCATTGGTTAGGATGGAGTGTATTTTGGAGATGTTGCATAGGTTAAGGTGGCAAGCTTTGGACTTGGATTGGAAGTGGGGATGAAAGGATAGTTCAGAGTCCAGGATAACACCTAGCAACTTGGCATGTGGGGTGGGTTGATAGTTGTGCCTTCAATCTTAACAGAGAAGCCAGGGGAAAGGGTAAGTGGGGGAGGAGATATTATGAGGTCGGTTTTGGATAAATTGAGTTTAAGGAAGTGATGTGACATCCAGGCTGTACTTTAGTAGATTATTGATTATTGATCTGGAGACTGATGGGGTGAGCTGAGGGGTAAAGAGATAGATTTGGGTGTTGTCAGCACCACGGGAGGCTATCAACTGACCTAGGGAGGAGGTGTAGATGAAGAAAAGGAGAGGTCCAAGAACAGAACCTTGGGAGACCCCAAAGGAGAAAGGCAGAGGAGAGGAGGAAAAGCGATTGTAATTGATGCTGAAGGTGTGGCGAGATGTATAGGAAGAGAAAGCATCTAACAAATAGTCACGGAGATCAATGGAATTACGTTTTTTGAATAGGAGGGGGTGGTCCCACCGTGTCAAAGGCAGCAGAGAGGTCCAGGCATAGGGGTACAGAATAGTGTCCATTGGTTTTAGCTATTAGTAGATCGTTTGCGAGTTTGTCAGCAGTTACATTGTTCCTAGCACTCTCGATGGACTACAACCCCCATCTTGTTATCGAGAAGATAAGAAAAGAACTTGGCCTGTAGTCTTAAAATACTTTCAATCCTAGGATGACAATGCTGATTCTTCATAAATATAATACAGTACAAAGTGAGTGTTGTCACCTTAATAAGGAAATATGCTACTGGAAGAACCACAAGGTGAAAATAAAGTAAAAATCATAAAAAAGAAAATGAATCCAGTCACTACATTTTTGTTCTTGGGTTTAGCCCTGGTTCACACCACTGTGACTTCAGGTGCGACATGTGATTTACAAATCGCACCTGAAGTTGCATCTGAAATATTTCTATGGGACTTAGTAGGTGCAATTTCAAGCAGTGCAATTTGAAATATAGTTCCTGCATTACTTTTTCATCACTTCAGTGCAATTCAACTCTCATGGGTTATAAGGTAAATGGCACTGAAATTGCACCTGTCTCTATATCAGCACTACTTTGAAGTCGCACTTTAAATGGGACAAAATCGGACCACTTTGAAATCACATTTAGTGTGAACCAGGGCTTAGCTACATCTTAAAATATATGATTTTTCACATATACCAATTGTGCAGAGTTTCACTGTCAGTGTGAATTTTGACTGTAACAATTTGACAGCAGAGCACATTTTTCATGATTTATTTTATTTCTGATTGTTATGTGTCAAGTCACTGGGCTTTAATATTTTGATTGCACGCGGAAACAGTGGGTAGATTTACTAAAACTGAGATGTACATTCAGATTCTGGTGTAGATGTACATGCTAGCCAATCAGCTTCTAATGTCAACTTGTTCAGTTAACCACTTCCCATCTGCCTGCATTGTACGGTGGACGGGTGGCAGCTACAGGCTGTGCCCTCCAGAACTTGGATCTCAGTAATAGGGACCCAGAGATCATGCGATCACATGATCACAATGTTAGCAAAGCTCTTATGATTCAATCTGATTCATAACAGCTTTGCTCTCTTCTTGGTGGGCTGTGAGCTCACCCCTCCCTGGAGTAGAACAATGACATTATGTTAGCACTGAACTACTCTGATGAACGTATTGTAGAAAATAGTAAAAAAAAAATCTAAATAATGTTTAAAAAAATTAAAATAGTGAGACATTTTTTTTTAAATTGTTAATTTTTTTTAAAACTACTCGCCGCCCGCCTGCCCGCCCACCCGCAATGTCTAAATGAGTGGTGGCTCAGGGAAAAGTGACATACCCTTACGTCGCTTTCTGTTTCCGGAAGCTATAGGTCGCTGACCACCACCATTACTAGTACAGTGTTTGTACGGATATTGATTATGAACAGAACTATACTAGTGCCTCCTTAGTATAGTGTCCCCCAAAAATGCAGTGCTAGCAGGATCAACTGTTCACTGTCAGCGCCTGCGTTTAGCCGTTTTTCACAGTAGATTTGTAGCAATTAATTGTGGACCAAAGCAATCAATGCATAACAATACATTGCTGCCCACCCAAATTCAGCTCTTGCCAGACAATTTAACATAGTTACATAATTAGTCTGGCTGAAAAAAAAAAAAATCAATCCAGTTCAACCAAAAAAAAAAAAAAAAAGTTATAATACTATACCCACAGTTGATCCAGAGGAAGGCAAAAAAACACAGCAAAGCATGATCCAATTTTCTCCTGCAGGGGAAAAAATTCCTTCCTGTTCCCCTGCAGGAGAAAATTGGCAATTGGATATTCCCTGGCTCAATTTTACCTAGAAATGTTGATATCTAGTTATATTATGTGTATCTTGTATATTATGTGTATTTAGGAAAGAATCCAGGCCTTTTTTTAAAGCAATCTACTGAGCTGGTCAGAACCAACTCTCGAGGGAGTCTAATCCACATTTTCGCAGCTCTAACTGTTAAGTGATCTTTCCGTATTTGGAGATTAATTCTCTTTTCCTCCAGATGTAAAGAGTGTCCTCTTGTCCTTTGTGATGACCTAAGGGTGAAAAACTCTACACTGAGTTCCCCATATGAATCACTGATGTATTTATACATGTTGATCATATCCCCCTTAATCTCCTCTTCTCAAGAGAGAATAAATTCAGTTCCTCTAAGCTTTCCTCATAGCTGAGCTCCTCCATCAGTTTGGTTGCCCTTCTCTGCACCTTCTCCAGTTCCCCAATATTCTTTTTGTGAATTGGTAATCAAAACTGAACTGCATATTCCAGATGAGGTCTAACTAATGATTTGTACAGGGGTAATATGATATCTCTCTCTCTGGAGTCTATACCTCTTTAATACAAGAGAGGATTTTGCTCGCTTTAGAAACCGCAGCTTGGCATTCCATGCCATTATTAAGCTTATGATCTACCAGAACTCCCAGATCCTTCTCCAACATTGATTCCCACAGTTTTTTACCATGGAACTGGATGTATAAGTTCCGTTCCCTTCCTCGTTTGTTCCAAAGATAATCTTTCTATCTCTCGTGTCCTTAGTTATAGGCCTCTCCTCCATTAATTTTCATAGAGTATCTCTTGATTGGTTGGCCAGTCTATTCCCTTTCATAACTGGCTAACTTCAAATTCCCTGAATTTAGCATACACCAACCCTCTTTAAGGTAAATCTTGGCACACCCTTTATGGAATTTAAGTGTGCCAGTTCATGATATTTTCCTGGGAAACCAAGTATTCATGAACAGCTGGCCACCTTCATTGCATGTCTAAATAAGTTATACTTTGAAGTGCATTGTGACAGACAGCAGAAATATTCTTTTTTTTTGTGTTGTTTGATGTTCCAGTGCCTCGCAGGGGGGAGGGGAAATGGGATGTGTCACGGACTGCCAGTGCCTCTCCCATCCCCCGCCATATCCCTCCACCCCTCCCTTCCCCCTTGTACATTCCAAGGTCTGTGGGGCTTCCACGGACAGGGCTGGGCCGGCCGTTGCCGAGGCAACCTAGCCGCGTCCCACATGATCTTCAAGAGACCCACACAGTAAGCAGCCCTTCTTTTTTTGTTCCTGTCCATGCTGCTGGAATCATCTTGCTCCCAGAAAGATGCTGGGAGGCTCGGGTGAGGGGGACTGAGCCTCCCCAGCCATCCCCCCTGTGCACTCTGCAGACCCCCAAAAGGTCAGGACTGTAGCCCTCTGCAATACCCCAGGGTTGGGAGTCTCCAAAGCTCTGCATGAGCCTTCTCCTCAAAGGTCAGACCCCACAGCTGAGACCCTGCCAGTCTGTAAGCTTGTCTACTGGGCACCCTTGCACCCTGTCTGCTGCTGAGTGCCCTGGGAGCTGCTGCTGAGGGACCCTGCACACTATCCGTGGCTGCGTGTCCCTCGAAGCTGTCTGCTACTGAGTGCCCTGGGAGCTGCTGCTGAGGGACCCTGCACACTGTCCGTGGCTGTGTGTCCCTGGAAGCTGTCTGCTGCTGAGTGCCCTGGGAGCTACTGCTGTCTGCTTATCGCTGGTTGTCCATGGAACGCTGACCACTGGTCGTCCCTGTCTGGAGCCGCCTGCCACTGAGGGTCTGCCAGCTGCTTACCGTGAGTGTCCTGAACTGTCCCCGCTGTGTGCACCAACCACCCGTGTTCTGAACTGTCCCCGCTGTGTGCACCGACCACCTGTGTCCTGAACTGTCCCTGTTGTGCGCACTGACCACCCGTGTCCTGAACTGTTCCTGTTGTGTGCACTGACCACCCGTGTCCTGAACTGTTCCTGTTGTGTGCACTGACCACCTGTGTCCTGAACTATCCCGGCTGTGTGCACCCACAACCTGTGTCCTGAACTGTGCCTGCTGTGTGCACCGACCACCCGTGTTCCGAACTGCCCTGCTGTGTGTTGTGGTGGTTTATGTAAGAATTTATTCTACTTATGAAGGGCGGTGTCCCTTTCCCTTAAACAAAATATCGCAGTGCCTCCAGCCGTTAAGATACGGCAAATATTTAATGAACCAATAATTTGGACACCTTAATAATTTGATCACCCTTATTATTATACCTTGAGTCCTTTTAGCCAGTATGATTTCGTACCATATACACAAAAATTGCCTTTATAATAAATAAATAGATAAATTTATTTATGTACAAAAATTATATATATATTAACACAAAACGCAAAAGACTGGTAATAAATGGATACTGGTACACACGATCAAAAATATAATATACCAATACTATACACCAAACAATTCTTCTAGATAATAATAAAGATTAAAATTAAGTTTTGTAATAAATGGCAATTTAGAGTACTTCAGAGGTCATTTCTCCCAAAACGTGGCCACAGAAATGGAAGAAAATATTCCCTGATAAATCGTACTATAACCAATGAAAATTAATTAATTATGCAATATGTCGATTTTCAATATGACACCAAACAATTCCTAGCAGTAATAATATGGATCTCTCTATCTATATATGAACACCCAATGCAGTTATTATCACCCCAATGCAATTATTATCACTCTATACAAGAGAGGAAATATGCAATACAATATTTTCTTAACAGTCTCACCACACCCAGAACCTGTATTATGACGCCTCCCCAGTGGATTCAGCTGGTAATTGAAACGCCTTCAGAAGAATGGCCGCAGGGAGCAAGTGAGAGATTGCAATAGGTTGTAGGGTTGATAAAAAGTGTAGGATTGTAGAAATACAGAGATTTAGAAGTTTAGTAGAAGTTTTTAAAAGTTTGAAAGGATTAAGTAGTAGTTCTTCAGATGGGATAGATTTCAGCCTCGTCAGATTTCTTCAGCTTTTCAGATCTCCTTGGTTTTTCTGTAGCTTTTCTTATTTTTCTTAGTATGAGTTTTTCAGCTTGTTTTTCAGCTTGTGTTTTTTTAAATGAGGTGCATGGCTTTTTTATACCATCCAAACCATTGTTTTAAAAGACCCTCCCAACAGGCTTTTTGATTGGCCGGTTGAGAAGTGTATGTACCTAAGATATCTCTCACCTGTCCACTGGGGGGCAGTCAGGGATCACAAAACAATTTGAGTATTAATGATGACTCATGCCTCGGTTGGAAACCAAGGTGATTTTAGATATTAAATATACGTCTTATCCAAATATTTTTGATTTTACTACTAATGTTTCGGATAGGAATCATAGAAAGATATATGTGCATTCAGTTTTTCATTTCCATGAGATTCAAACTTGTGTTAAACATTTGCTTTCTGATGGAAACATACAACTGATACCAATTCACAAAATATCTTACTTTTCACCATTTCATACTTAATTTAGTGGTATGCAATCCCCAACTCTGCTGGATATATTTTTGTTTGAAAAAGAGTGTGAATAATATGTCTCTTCTTTAATGTCTTTGTGGGTAGAAATATATGTTCTAAGTTTCACCTTTTGGTTTTAGGAATGACATTTCCCTGAACAGGAAACCTCTGTTTACCTGTCCATTGTTAAGATGATAGGGTAAACAACCAGTTATACTTGTAACCTTCCTTTGAGAATTTTGTTGGCTTATCACTCTCCCCAAGGTTTTGTTTAATCTTCTCAGACTTACAAGTATCGTCTCACCATTGTTAATTTGGTCAGGTGTGGTGACTCACTGTTTGGAAGTCCAATGTTGTATTTGACTTTATAATTAACTTTTTGTAGATGAAATCTCCTCATTTCCAACAGACAATGGCAATTTGTTGATAAAACATATTTTTGCCAGTCTTATAGTCACCGACATCAGCTCTCACTATTGTCTGTCCTGGCTGTGTTTGACGACCTGTAGAAGTTCAAATAACCTATTGTCTCTGGAACAGGTTCCTTCCCCTCATTGTGGGTGTAATTTCACTAGAAGGTCATTTGAATTCTAACCAAGAAAGGTTAACCCTTAACAGACGGCTGGGCTTGTTGCTCTTGGAATGAAATCATATTTTTAATAAGTAGTCCCCCAAAAGTCACTACAGTGTGCACTGACCACCCGTGTCCTGATGGCATGCCCGGAGTATAGCTACCTGTGGTGCCCCTGAGTGCTTGAGCCATCGCTACCCGTTGAGTCCCCATGAACCCAATGACCCTAGAAAGCTGGGTGGGAGCTGTGCTGTGGCCAGTCTCCACAGCTAGAGTCCCGTTCAGTCCCCGAGGCCCCTGCCCAGTGGTAGGTTGCTGCCTGTTGCCTGAGCCCCTGCCCAGGGGTAGATTGCCGCCTGTTGCCCGAGGCCCCTGCCCAGTGGTAGGTTGCCGCCTGTTGCCCGAGGCCCCTGCCCAGTGGAAGGTTGCCGCCTGTTGCCCGAGGCCCCCCTGCCCAGTTGTAGGTTGCTGCCTGTTGCCCGAGCCCCTGCCCAGTGGTAGGTTGCCACCTGTTGCCCGAGGCCCCTGCCCAGTGGTAGGTTGCTGCCTGTTGCCCGAGGCCCCTGCCCAGTGGTAGGTTGCCGCCTGTTGCCCAAGGCCCAGTGGTAGGTTGCCGCCTGTTGCCCGAGTCTCCAATCCGCTGTCCAGTCATGGAGGGAGCTCGGCTGAGGCCCCAAGCCTATGGGGGAGACTGCCTGCCTGTCGCTGAAGACCCCCCGTGCCTGGAATCGTCCCTGGTTTGCGCACACATCACCCTCCCAGCCATTTCCCCATTAAGTGTCTGTCCTTTTGTTGCTTCAATAAAGCTTTGTGCGTTCCCCATCTTCTCCGTGTGCTCTGTCCTGCCTGCGCTTCCGTTACAGGATGTATCTCAGCATAGAACAAAGACAGCATGGCTCTGTGTGGCTGGGAGACCAGCCCAGACCAGTTTTAGCAGGAAGTTGGGGGAAATAGGATGGATTTCAGCATAGATCAAAGATAGCATGGCCTTCTGTGTGGCTGGGAAAACCAGTCCAAGCCACTTCTTAGCAGGAAGTTGGGGGGTGGGGACAATTGCAGGGCCATGTGGTCTCCGGTTGAATGGGAGACCTAGAGAGGGAGGAAGCCAGTCAGTCACTCCTAACTGAGCCTAACTATAAGATGCAGGGAACCGTGCTTTGCTGTGTGCCTGGGAGTTACGGCTGCCACTGTGTGCATGAGAAGTCACCCCTGCCTACTGCTGCTGTGTCTCTGGGAAGTTACTCCTGCCTGTTCAGCGGACCGCTGTTTGTCCCTAGAAAGCTGCCTCTGTCTGCGGACCGCTGTTTGTCACTGGAAAGCTACCCCCTGCCTGCTCATCGCTGCTGTCCCTGGAAAGTTGACCACTGTGAGGGTCCCTGTCTACTGCCTGCTGCCGCCCCTAAAACCGTGAGTGTCCCTGCACATTGTCTGCTGGTTGCCCCTGGACACTACCTACCGTGTGTGCCCACAAGTACTCTGCCTATTACCCTCTGTGTGCCAAGAAGTACTGTTACCTGCTGCCTGCTGTGTGCGCCAGAGCTGACTCCTGCCAAACCATGAGTGCCTATATCCTCTTGTCTGAACTACCCCCCATGACTCTCCCTATTTTCCATGCCTGGACTGTCTGTGAATCTCCCTATTTTCCCTGCCTGGACTGGCCCTATTGAATACCCCTAATTCCCTGTCCGGATGGGCCCATCGAACACTCATACCTTTTCTGCCTGGATTGTACCCATTGAACTTCCCTATTACCCTTGCCAGACTTGCCCGCTTGGATTAATACTTGCTCGGGCCATCGCTACCCAAATTGCCCTATCGTGCAATTATTTTGGGCTCCGCCCTCTATTTCCCTTGTTTGGGTACCCGGGCGCTACCTTCAGACCCCAATTGAGTGAATGTAATTTTTCAATAAAGCTTTGTGTGTTTATCATCTGCTTTGTGTGTTCTGTCCCTGCCTACGCTCCCTCACATGCATATTTGGGAAGCCAACAGGTCTGTCCCATTGTTATATAAAACTAACTCTGGCACTGAAATGTCTGAAAGAGGATTCTCAGCAAAGACTTCTGTTATACAGTAAAGAAGGTGTAATTAATAGAATATTCCCTTTGGCAACTATGGTATCTATAGAACAGAAATTTATGGGAAGTCATATTGCACACCCAGAATGATACAGCTCTAACTGAAATATATTCATAATTACAATATTATTTACAGTGTTTAAATGGAGATTTCACATAAACTCATTATCTAACATCTGTTATAGTCTTTGTAATGTTTAAAGGATGATAGCGTTCCTTCGTTTTTATATTTATTAAAAGCTCTTTTCTTATTATTTATAGCTTTTTTAACTTTGGCCGTAAGCCATATAGGTTTTATTTTTAGCTTTTACAACTTGTTGACCACGGGAATATATTTCCAGTGTTTTCACATAGTCTTTTTGAAGAACTCCCATTTCTGTTGTGTTAATTGATGCCAATATACCCTCCAATTAGCTCTCTTAAAGATGAGCATTTTTATTTTCCCCATATGTGCTTGTTGTTTACAGCTAACAATAAATTAAATCATGTTATGGTTACCGATACCCAGATGTTATTTTATATGGAAATTAGTAATAAGCTCTGCATGGTTTGAGATTACCAAGTCCAGAAGAGCATCATTCCTAGTTGGGGCCCCTATGAACTGTACCATAAAATTGTCCTGTAGTAGATTTATACATTTTTGTTGCCCTTTAACTGTTCCTGCAGTGCCATTACTCCAGTCAATTTCCGGGTAGTTAAAATCCCCCATTATTATCACTGTCCCAGCTTTTGCAAGTCTTTCAATCTGCACAAGGAGCTGAGTCTCTACCTCCTCATTAACACTGGGTGGCCTTCCACAAACTCCATCTATTACCTTTTTAGTATGCACCCCCCCCCCCTGTGCAGTTCCACCCATACTGCTTCTGCCTCATCACCTATCATGGTTTCCAACTTTAAAACCATTTTGTGCCTAACATTCAATATGGGCATTACAAAAAATAATTAACCACTTGACCTCCAGAGGATTTACCCCCCTTAATGACCAGGCCTCTTTTTGCTACTCGGCGCTGCACTAATTCAACTGATAATTGCGCGGTCATGCAATGCTGCACCCAAACAAAATTTACGTCCTTTTTTTTTACACAAATAGAGCTTCCTTATGGTGGTATTTGATCACCTGTGCGCTTTTTATTTTTCACGCTATAAAAAAACAAAATTTTGAAGAAAAACAATATTTTTTACTTTCAGCTATAAAAAATATATAGTAAACTCAAAGTTGGTTATAAATTTAGGCCAAAATGTATTCTGCTACATGTTTTTGGTAAAAAAAAAATCCCAATAAGTGTATATTGATTGCTTTGTGTGAAAGTTATAGCGTCTACAAACTATGGTAGAGATACTGCAATTTACGCCATTTTTTTGCTATACATCGCTGCGCTAGTTTAACGGACAATTGCGCAGTCATGCAATACGGTACATAATTGAAATTTACATCCTTTTTTCCCCCACAAATTGATATTACGGTCATATTGATACACAGAACCGATTCATCATATGCCCATGTTCTCTGCTGTTATAATACTGCACACTGCACAAAATTAGATGTTGCCATGGTTTAATTGCACATAACATGTAAACATTCACAGTGCAGGGAGGAAAAAGTATGTGAACCTTTGGACTTAATAACTTGTTGACCCTCCTTTGGCAGCAAAACCTCAACCAAACGTTTCCTGTAGTTGCAGATCAGACCTGCACAACGATCTGGGGTCATTTTGGACCACACTCCTCTTCACAAAACTGTTTCAGTGTAGCAATATTTCTTGGGATGTCTGGTGTGAATCGCTCTCAATGTCATGCCACAGCATTTCAGTCGGGTTGAGGTCAGGACTCTGACTGGGCCACTCCAGAAGGCGTATTCTGTGCTGTTGCAGCCATTGTTTTGTTGAATGACTTGTATGCTTTGGGTCATTGTCCTGTTGCATCACCCATCCTCTGCGGAGCTTCAGTTGGCGGACAGATGGTCGTACATTTTCCTGCAAAATGTCTTGATAAACTCTGGAATTCATTTTCCCATCAATGACAACAATCCGTCCAGCCCTGAGGCAGCAAAGCAGCCCCAAACCATGATGCTCCCTCCGCCATGTTTTACAGTGGGGATGAGGTTTTGATGTTGGTGTGCTGTGCCTTTTTTTCTCCACACATAGTGTTGTGAGTTCTTCCCAAAACAACTCAATCTTGGTTTCATCTGTCCACAGTATATTTTGCCAGTAGTGCTGTGGAACATCCAGGTGCTCTTTTGCAAACTTCAAACGTGCTGCAATATTCTTTTTTGGACAGCAATGGCTTCCTCCGTGGTGTCCTCCCATGTACTCCATTCTTGTTTCATGTTTTCCTTATTGTAGATGTGTCAACAAAAAATGTTAGCATGTGCCAGAGATTTCTGTAGGTCTTTAGCTGACACTCTGGGATTCTTCTTTACCTCATGCAGCATTCTGCGCTGTGCTCTTGCAGTCATTTTTTACAGGACGACCATGCCTAGGGAGAGTAGCAACAGTGCTAAACTTTCTCCATTTGTAGACAGCCTGTCTTACCGTGGACACATGAACATCAAGGCTTTTGGAGATACTTTTGTAACCCTTTCCAGCTTCATGCAAGTCAACAATTCTTGATCGTAGGTCTATCTGAGAGCTCTTTTCTGTGAGGCATGGTTCACACATCAGACAGTGCTTCTTGAAACCAGTAAACCCAAAACAAGTGTGTGTTTTTTTAAGGGCAGGACAGCTGTCAGCAACACATCCAATATCATCACACTGATTGGAGTCAAGGTTGGCTCACTCCTGGCTCCAATTAGCTTCTGGGAAAGTCATTAAGCTAGGGCCTCACATACTTTTTCCTCCTCCCTGCACTGTGAATGTTTACATGTTATGTGCAATTAAACCATGGCAACATCTAATGTTTGTGTAGTATTATGTTCAGCAGACTGTGTGTTCTTCTATTGTTGTGACTTAGATGACGTTCAGAGCACATTTTATGCCCAATTCATGCAAAACTCCACGTAATCTCAAGGGGTTCACATACTTTTTTCTTGCAACTGTATATGCTCAAGAAGGACCATAAATCTACTGGTACAATGCTGGACTTTGAGTGGTTATACCAGGATGATGCCTGCAGCTACTGGCATTGTCCTCGTATTGTTTTTTTCAGCTGACAGTTTGTTTCATTTAAAAGCAATCCTAGCAGCTAATTAGCCACTGGATTGCTTTTACAAGCAGCAGGAAGGGACATCCCCCCTTCCAAGTTTTTTTTTGGATTCTCCCATCCCACAGGCGAACCCGGGAATGCAGCCAGTGGTTCTGTCGGCTGACCATAGAGCTGATCGATGAACGGAATATCTCAAAACGTCTCTATGGTCTACAAAACCAGAAGCTAGGAACATTTCATCATTTCGCTTTCGCCAGATATAAACAGTACCATTTTTGGGAAAGCATTTGATCACACTGATCTTGGTGTGATCACATGCTTTAAAGACAGAGTAGAGATCTAGAGTCTAAAAGATTTCTCAGAACAGAGTACCTGTCACTGCCTACATCAATCACAGGTGATATTTACATTCCCTATGATAAAAATAAAAGTGATTAAAAATGAAAGGGACAGTGTAAAAATAAAAAAAGGATAATAAATAATTAAAAAGAG